AAATTTTTTGGGAGTACCGAGTAGTTCTGATCGGAGTTCTGGACGGTCCTCGACGAGTTCTGTCGGAAAGTATCAGGGTTCAAAGCGATTGGACCAACGGTTTCTGAAATATACTCTAAAAATTGTTTATCTTTGGACAAATATTGCTGTATCTTGCAAACCGTTGGTCCAATCGCTTTTTCACCTTACAGTTTTCGATAGAACTCGTCGAGAACTATAAGAAACGCTACTCAGAACTACTCGGTACTCCCAAAAAATTTTTACTTCAAATTTTTTTCGAAGTTCCACGTCGGAAAATTTTTTGAGAGTACCGAGTAGTTCTGAGTAGCGTTTCTTATAGTTCTCGACGAGTTCTATCGAAAACTGTAAGGTGAAAAAGCGATTGGACCAACGGTTTGCAAGATACAGCGACATTTATCAGAAGATCAACAATTTTTAGAGTATATCTCGGAAACCGTTGGTCCAATCGCTTTGAACCCTCATACTTTTCGACAGAATTCGCCGAGAACTGTTCAGAACTCCGATCAGAACTACTCGGTACTCCCAAAAAATTTTTGACCAAAAATTTTTTTCTAAGTCCCACGCCGGAAAATTTTTTGGGAGTACTGAGCAGTTCTGTTCGGAGTTCTGGACAGTTCTCGGCGAGTTCTATCGAAAAGTATCAGGGTTCAAAGCGATTGGACCAACGGTTTCTGAGATATACTCTAAAAACTGTTGATCTTCTGATAAATGTTGCTGTATCTTGCAAACCGTTGGTCCAATCGCTTTTTCATCTTACAGTTTTCTATAGAACTCGTCGAGAACTGTAAGAAACGCTACTCAGAACTACTCGGTACTCTCAAAAAAATTTTCAAAGGTTTCCACTATATTTTTTAAACTTTATTATATTTCAAAAATGTTTTTTATGTTTCAAGAACTCTAGGTATTCACAATAGTTCTGTTAAGCTGATCAGAACTATGCGACCTTGAATTTCGTTAAAAAGTTAGCACCCCATTTTTAAAAAGTTATTAAAAAATAATTATTAAGAGCATATGTCATTAAAAATCATAGAGAACTCTTCGTATCGTCAAAAAGAAGCAGGAATTATCATCAGAACTATTGTATCTAAAAATTAATTTTTCAAAAATTTTTAATTTTTTTTTAATTATTCGGAAATTTGTTTTACATTAGGAACTCTAGGCAATCGCAAATTGAAGCTATTAAGCCGCTCAGAACTATTCCACCTCGAAATTCGATAAAAAGTTAGCACCCCATTTTTTAAAAATGTAAAAAAAATGTTTATTGAGCGGAACTCTTGTTATTAACTATAGGGAACTCTTCGTCTCGTCAAAAGGAAGTGGGAACTCTAATCAGAACTCCTGAGTACTATAGTTGGGATACTAACTTAACATACCCAGAGAATTTGCTCTTCTCATTGCAACTTTATTATAGATTAGAAAATCTATATTCTGGCCTTTTTCATTTACCAAACCTCCTGGGGTAATGTCTACGATTTTATAGTCTTCTTCCAAGCTATTACAAATTTACAAATAATCATAATTTGATTGTTTATTCTTAATGACTAATTAAATTTTTCCAGATCAGTCTAATTAGCTATCGCTTCATTTCTTGCTACGCATAAGAGTGGTGTCACATGGAACGGAACAATGAGACCAATCATAATCGTAGAAAGGAAAGCAGAATAATGATTGCAGAGTTCTGATTGGTCTCACTGTTCCGTTCCGTTGTAATTTTCGCTCCATGTGACAGCACCTTAACGTACAACGAGAAGTGCATTTCATTTCGCACATAATGCGCTTAATGCATCAATTGTCCTTTGTTGTTCAACATTTGGTGGGCAACAAGAATACATTATGCGTATCATGCATGAAACGGAATGCACCCGAGCTTTAGTATTATTTTTGATTGAAAAAATCTAGTGTTTATACTTAAACTGTACTAGTGTCTAATGATTTCAGTAAAAAGTGCATTGTGTCTTTAATATGATTGATTTCTATACTTCTATACTGGTAGTTATAGCTGATTCCTGTATTTAAGACTATCCTAAGTACAGTTTTAAGATGTTATAAGTCAATCAAAGGGCTGAATTAGCTCTCTGATTGGCTTAAGGATTTCTTTTACCAACTTCTAGTTAAATTAATTAATGATCAATTCGTAGAAATGTCAACAGTTTAATCGTTTAATGTGTCAAAAAGTCTCCTCTTTCTTCCGAGACAAATTTTAGTTTTCTCATTGATAATTATGATCATTGACTTAACTATATATTGATTACCAGAGTTAGTAAGAGGTCCTAAGACATTTCTTAAAATAGTCCTAAAATAAGAACGAATTATGAATACCGCTCTTAAATTCAATGAAAGACAAAAAGTAAAAATCAACCATTAAAGAATCATTGAGCGCCCACTGATCAATTTCCACTGCTAAATATAATTATTCTTACGAGAGTTACTATGATCACTATGTGGTGTAATTTGCTCGTTCAAATTTAATGAATGTCTTGAGGTTAAAGCTTCTATCTGCTCTTTAGACTTTACTGTATTCATCACAGTATCTGATACTATTGCAGATTTATCCAGATCTGAAATAATGAATAAATTATTAATATATTGTATAATGTGGTACAGTAGCCAATAAAAATCATATATAATAATAGTAATAATAATACATTCTCTTAATTATTGAAGAAACTTATACTTGTATACCTTCATTGAATGATAATTCTAAATTCAGTGTGGGTACTGCATTATGTTTTAATCTTCTTTTCTTTGGTAATTGGTCTAACTGGTACTCTTTGTATGCAGTTGACTCAAAATGGGAGGAACAGATGCGTCCTACATACATAGAACATTTTACTTTCATTGTATGTGATATATATAATTAAGAATATAATTGGGTAATTACTAAATTATACAGAATAGGTCCTGTAGCTCAAAAATCAATGAAATTAGGCTTGTTTGATGCGTTTAGTAACTGTTTCGCACAATAGAATGCACAAAATTTAAAATCAAATTAAAACACGAAGTAATTACTTCGTTTTTTAATTTGATTTTAAATTTTGTGCACTCTATTGTACGGAACAGTGACTAAACGCATGCGCGTGTGTAAGACGGTGACAGATTTCCAACTACATGACAGATTTCCTAACCTGAAGCCATCAATTTTAACGTTTAATATCTCGGTTCGTAGGACCGAGCGACGCTTATTTCCGCTAGATTCTTTTGTTTCATTCAAAAACGCGTCGAATAAGCCTAATTTTATTGATTTTTGAGCTGCGGGACTTATTCTGTATAATTACCATATATTGATTCATACATATACCATTTTTAACATTGACATCTTGTCTCCCACAAGCTTTCTTCCATTCTGATAATAACGCTGACTTTTTTGGGAAGCGGTGGAAATGTATAATTCTAGATTCTTTTGTTCGATAATTATTTATACAGGTTTTTATTTGACAATCGCTCATTCTAATCTCTTGATATGTCTACAACTGTATATAATGACAGTTACTCCGGATCTACTTTTAAGTCTTGAGCATAAGAAATGGATGAATCATAATCGATTATTCTCCTCGAATTCGACTGTAATTAATTTTAGTTAATTTCTTACGGCTTAAGGCTTAAAACACCTATTGTGGTAGATAAAGCAGTGGTGGAAGCCCGTATGTACATACATACACACCTTTCGTAACAGTAATCATTATCCTTAGGGTAGTATAGTACAAAACTAATAGAAAGTCGACTACCAGCGCGAGTTCTGATTGGCTACTACTTTTCCGCTTTCCGCTTTTCCGTCAAAGTGTGAACCCGTCATAAAAATATTTTCATATATCTTTTTTATGTAGATGAATTATTGCAAAATTTGGCGCAACATCCATCCATTCTTGCAATGATACACATGCGCGAAAGAGTGAGACTTAACGAGACTATGGCCTAGTTTACATCGTGCAATTGATATGAGTACTATTAAATTATCTTAATTTCAGCGTTATGTGTAAACATACATGATATGTGTATTTAATTAATTATTTTGATGCATATTTTACTAATTTAATACATTATTCTTTAAATACATTGTTGAAATTAAGATCATTTAATAGAAAATTACTAATTAATACGCGTATCAAGTGCTCGGTGTAAAAGAGGTCCGTATAGTATACTCCTCTCACTTACAAGAATTTGACGAAATCTGTATTGGCCAGTCGGGTCTTTTATTATAGATCCTACCCTGGCATTGGACGCGTTCAGCGGACTCAACAATTGAGTGAGCACTCGCTGTTATTGGTGTTTTCTTTTAGATCATCCAATCAGAATTTTAGATCTAAAAGAATATACCATTAACAGCGAGTGCTTACTCAACTGTTGAGTTCGCCCATCGCCTGGGATGAGCTGATTGCTGCCAGCTGAAAAGTGATTTACATCGCGTGGAAGGCGAAGAGATTCGACGATGTTTCCAGCTTACGCAAACTTATCAGCATACGACAGGCACAAGAAACTCATAAATGACTACCTGACAATTTATGGGAAATCTGTATCATCGTTCAAGCGAGACACGTATGTTGATTTTTTTGTTTTATAGTTACGGTTATAATAGAAAAAAAGTTTTGTTATTGTTAGGCAATGACACTTCCTTTTTTGTCATTTATACCTTGGAGTCCTCGTTTTTAATGACTCCACTTTCTGTAAACATTTCCAATTTTATATATTTTTGTTTGCTCCAGCAGTATAATATACCAAGAGTATTTCTAAAAATATTTGATCAAAATTTAACCATCATATATGTTTTAATCATACCATTAATGTAAAAATACAATATGATCAAGTTTGTGAATATTTCTTTCCGAAATCATAGCTCTTTAAAATTTTTATTCTATATATTCATATTTGTATACTTAATTACTTAAATCATTTTTCTTTGAATATGTTTTTATTAAATTGAATGATGAATATTGTTTAAACCCATATGTTATGACTTTTCTTATTAAGTAATTAGTAGGATATACTGGACAGTAAACGCGCAATTTGATTGAAAATTTAAGCACTTTCATTATATTCATTTTGTTTTCTTAGCATAGAAAATGGAGTACAATGACAATGAGCTGTTATATTTTTTAAAATAGCATAGTTTACAGCATTTCCTTGCAATGGATTTATTATTAATTAGTAGCACATAAAAGTTATAATTTGATAAACTTTATAACAAGCAGCACTTGACGTTTCGAGGTCCCAAGACAAAACTGATTACGATGTTATCCGAGAGAATCACAAGTTTCTCTGGGACCAAGAAAAGGATATCCCAGATACATGGGGTAGCAGATTAGCTAAGAAATATTACGACAAATTGTTCAAGGAATATTGCATATGTGATCTTACATATTATAAATATAATAAGGTATGAAATGTTGTTATTTATATTCATATATTGATTTTTAAATTAATTATAAAAAGTTATTTTTTAAGTAAGTTAATTAACATTATTAATTTATATGACATATACAGATTGCCTTGAGATGGAGAACTGAGAAGGAAGTAATAGTTGGGAAAGGACAGTTTGAGTGTGGCAGTAAAACATGCAAAGAGAAGGAAGGTTTGCGTTCTTGGGAGCTTAATTTTGGTTATGAAGAACACGGCGAGAAGAAGAATGCACTAGTAAAATTAAGTATGTTAAGATAAATGTAGGTCTATTCTGTACGTATAAAACTGTTCTGTACAAAACAATTTTTTTTATGTGAAGGACTTTGCCCAGAATGTTCGGTAAAACTTAATTATCGATCACAAAAACGGGAGGTGAAAAGGAAGAAATCTTTGAAGCGTTTGGGCACAAATTCCAAAAGTATCAATGATGTCCCTACTGTTTCCAGTAATCCAGAATCAAATAATAAAGCTGAGACAGATTTCAGTTCAGCTGAAGTACAAAGCAATGAGAATACTGATACAAATGAATCAAATATCTGGAAAGAGAAATCAGCTGAAGACGTAGAAAAGACAAGAGAACAAGAATTTGAGGAATATTTGGCAGATTTATTTATGTGAATGCTATTAATGTTTTAATCATAATTTATTTTCGTTTAATACTTTATTGTAAATAAATATTAAAGAAGATAGTGTAATTTCTTTTGTTTGTTTAATTCTTTATTTAAAGAGATCCTAAAGTAATGAAAGTATCAGGCTTATAAATTAAAAAGTTTTCTGATTTGACTGTATAGATTATAAATTCTTTTTACACAATTAAATTACGCATAAAAAAGATACAAGGAGATTAATTTAACGAAAAAATCGGAAAGAAGTTATATTAGGCCCACAATCTTGCTTTAAGAGGCCCTAAGCCGTAAAGCCGTAAGAAATTGACCAATCACAGTAGATTATTTTTTTCGCATTCAACTATGATTGGTCAATTTCTCATGGCTTTATGGCATGAGGTCTCTTAAAGCGAGATTGTGGACCTAGTTTTAGAGATACTGAATGCAATTTTTTAACTTTTGTCCTTTTTTTGTCAGATAAACAGATTTTCATTTTTTAAATGCGTACTTGTGTACAAAGATTTTACAATATGCACTAATTCAGAATACTTTAATCTGTAATATTGGTAATTCTATCATTTTAGGAAATTCTTGTTATTTTTAAGGATGTTAGTACACAGCTATAAATGTACAGTATCAATAACACAATTTTTATAATAAAATATAATATATAAAAGATGTCTTCTAGTGAGATTTGCAAAAATATTCAAATATTTAAAAGAAATCTATAAGAAATAAAAGAGAAATTTATTTGTTATGATTTAATCAAAATAAAATTATGTAATTTTTTAATAAACTTTAAATAACATGATATTGGTAAATGTTTAATTCCTGCATAAGACTCCTAAAAACAAATGTAAAATTGTATAAATTTTTTACTTACTATAACCGTGGTTCATGAAAAAGAATTAAAAAGAGGATAAATAAAATTGCAATTAAAAGATTAATCCTTTTTTTAATCTCTCTACATTATGAGCAATTGTATTATGAACTAAGAAAGGCAAGACAAATTAACAAATATAAATACGTTAAAAATTAGTAAAATTTCAATATTAAGGCGTTTCTGATTTAATACATATTACACAAATTATAATATATTACTGTTAATGTACAGTAACAAATTTTCCTGCAAAGAAATATAAATAAATTTTATAAGCTGTACAAATGAAATATCTTCAATTATACCAGAAGGTTTGCGGGTTATCGCCGTGTCTTTCTTCATTATTGATGCCAACGTTTCGTGAACCATACCGTTCACTTCATCAGGGCGAGGGTTGCGCTGATACTAGTATCTATCTGATGAAGTCAACGGTATGGTTCACGAAACGTTGGCATCAATAACGAAGAAAGACACGGCGATAACCCGCAAACCTTCTGGTATAATTGAAGAAATACCTCAAAAGCGTAATCAATGAATATCTTAATTGTGGAATAAATTTTTTATTATTTTGTATATATGTTGTTAATTTGATACTAACGGATCAACATTGCATTCGATTTTTTTCTATTCTATTTTATGACAATTTACAATGCATCCTACAATTTGATTGTACACAATAAGTCAAATATTGTCTTATTTTTTCCAGTGTAAAGATTTATCTAATATTTTCTAATAATTTGTTGGATCTCTTGTGAATAAGAATTATTGTTAATTTTATTTTTATCTAATTAATTAAAATTATTATCTATCGAATACTTATGTAATTATTATTAATTCGAAGAATGATTGTATAAGATTATATTTTATATTTGTTCTGTACACCTAACCTAAATTGCACAATTCATCTAGAGTTTGTTGCTTGTTCAACTTCTATCATTTCAATTATTTTTTTCACTGTAAGTTTACATTGCATATAAAAATGACTGATACTCAATTTTACAATAAATTTAATATATATCGTTGATGTTTTCTACTCAAAACTTCAAATATATCTAATATTTCTCAGCCTTAATATATATATATATATATATATCTCATGTAAAATTAATATACAACATATACAATATACTAATAAAATCTGTTACATGTGTTATGTGTAATTTAAGATCTAAATATTTCATAATATGGACATTTGTGCGCTAAATATTACATAATAATGTACCAACTACAAAAGTATAATATTATAAATATGCTCTCCTGAGCAATTGATCAATACAAATATTGCCAAGTTTCATCTTTTTTGTATCGACATCATTTAAAAAATATAAATTATCATATATATGTATATACTTTTTAAGACTAAATATTATTAACGTAGCTAAAACGCGTCATATGCTACATGATTCCTTGAAACAAACTTCTATGTATTATACATTAATCAATTCGTTTTTCAGTCAATTTCAATTATCAATTATACAAGATAAAAAATAGCATTGAGTATTATAAAATACGATTTTAATTGCAATTTACGTTTCTTGTAGATACTCTCAATTGATTAGCTTGTTTCTGCGAATCACTATCTTCATCGCTACAATCTTCATCGTGTGTATGTGTAACATTACGTGGCGTTTCTGGTCTCGCATGTGGAATTTGATTATTGAAATGGTCTACATACAAATTTTTCTAAATGAAAAAAGAGAAAATACATTATTGAGACATACTTCCACGTTGATCAATGAATATCTAGTTATGATATCTAGTTATCATGATTGAGGATTCTTGACCTACAAAGCTATTGCCTACACCTTCATTTGCAATACGTGCTACAAGCAATGTTGTCATGTGTGTAATAAACTATATATAACATCATTGTGTGCAAACAAAGTTGTAGGCAATCGTTTCGTAGGTAAACGGAGTCCTTCCTTATAATCATGATGTTCTTAGAAATACTTACAGAAGAAGGCCGATTATGTTCTTCTTCCTCGTCTGCCAGTTTAAATGTTCTTGAACGACTTATCATTGGCGTTTCCATAACAAATCTTTGTTCATGTGCCACTGTACTTTCATGAGGCATCTGAAAATGTGATAAGAAACATGACTGTCTCACATGAATAAGATACAACTTGGATAAATCATATATCCAAGTACAGCATACAACTTACCAACATAGCAGGTGCTCTGAACATATATGAAAAAGGATAGTAAATCAAATTTAAGAAGGTTGCCGCATATAAATCGGCGTACCTCACGACTTGACTACTGAAAAACGTTTGTCTGCTTCCGCTGCGAAAAAGGGAGCCCATCATACCGTAAGCTAAGTCCATTTTATGCGTGACATCCCTTATAGACGCACGCAATTTAGAAATATCTGGCTTTTCCTTTGTACTACTGTCTAAATTTCTAAACAAGGTAATTGATGCGACGTTAATAAAAGCATATTTCAAGTTTTATACAACGTATTTATTATTGCGATCACATACTACTCACTTGTACATTTCTCCGAGCATAACGTCCAGGTTTTGTAATTCGGCAAACAATTGACACTTGTCAGTCCAAACGTGTAACTCTTGAACCAATTCTGGGACTATTAAAAATGTCCTCCATCCCCTTATCTTCTTGCTCTTTAAAATATCGCCAAATATGTGGTCACCAACGTATAACACATCTTTTCCTTTTGCGCCAATTAACTCTGTAAATACGTCGCACGAGCCTCCTGAATACACTTCTCCTATTTTAAACAAAACCAATGATTAAAAATCTCACTTGTATAAAACTAAGCAAGAGAGAAAGAATTTTTTAATGTACTAAATTACCATTTATTACTTAATATTTCTTATTACCTGTGTGAAGTGGTCCTTTGTGTGTACCAAGTTTTAAAGCACCTGTTTTTGTATCTACTTGTCGTAAAATTGTCCCTTCTCCAAAAAACAACGGCTTTCTGGCGTCTACCACAATTGTGTCGAAGTAGGTTTTCCAATTTCTATGTGGTTCATCAGGCTAAAATGAAAACAATGTATCAAAAATTTATTTATACCTAGTATTTTATAAGAATATGTTTCATCATGAGTAATTTTATGAGTATATTTTTCGCACTTAATAAGTGAGAGAAATTATTTTTTTAATACAGAAATTTGAAGAAATTTCAATAAAAAAATTTTTTATATAAAATATATAAATTCTAAGTTAAAAATATGAATAAAAGATTAAAACTTTATCAGTATCATAATATATAAATTTACAATTAGTTTCCAATTTTGTGGATTTTTTCAAATTATATATTAACTCTCACATAGTATAAATATACAATTGCTAATTTACTTAAAACAATTAATTTGAAGAATGTTGACAGTGAATAAGAGAAAACATACCCGTGCACCGTGTGGAAAATCGAACAAGTAAGTCATAATTTTGTCCGTGAAAACGTAATCACTGTTAGTTAATAAAAACAGTTTTGCTCCGCTCTCTCGGATTCTCGTAAGGAACATAGGCAACCTTTCATCCTTCTTTACATATTCGTCTAAGTTCTCGATAGTCTTCGATTTAAGATCACCATGAAGGTGGATCCAATCTACCGCGTTTCTGACATCCTGAAATATGCTTTTGAAGCTCATGGTGAGCTCACCTTCTTTGACTCCGGTTTTTTCTCTGGTATATTGCGGCGAATTCGTGAAAAAGTCTATCAGACATGCCAGCAAATAGGTCTCCGGTAGATTGAACAAGGTATTGAGCACATAAACTCTAGATTCGTCTAACTGTAGAAATTTATTTGGATAAAGCTCGTAGACCTGAGAACTGAAATAAAATAAACCAAGTACAGAAAGAGCAATAAAGAAAATATTTGCTGTGCAAGAAAAATATATGTTATTTTTATTCCTTACTGCTTCAAGAACTCGAAGCCGTGGACACAGACTAAAATGTTCCCGTAAGCGTCCACTTTCAAAAGGTTTCCGTGTAAAGTGTCGAACCATAATCCACGAACGGGAAAGCTGGGATCATATTCAAAGGCCTTGATTTCCTGTGGATATCCTAGGGATACTAAACGATCCTTGAGAAGATTGAAGCCCAGTTGCTCATACTGTGGCGACTTGTATTCTGAAATGTTTCATATAATACAGTCTCGTTTATCTCGACTTTTCTTTTCTAGAGTAAAATGAGGGATATATTGAAATAATTACCCGCTAATGTGTAATCCATGTCGAAGCCATAGAACTTGATGTTCTCTAGATGAAGGCTCCGATTGACGAAGATCCTACGAAGAACAATTCATCGATTAAGAAACATCGTAAATTAATTAAAGGGTTTTTGGAATGTATTAGAATTTATAATTTAAAATGCGCGATCAATTTGATATTGAACGAGGAAAATTTAGCGAGACCTATTAGCGACCGATTATACCGATGAATGAACTCGCTTTGCTCGAGATCTTTCTGTTGATAGAGAACCGATAATCGTGATAATTTCATAATATCGAAATCAATTTCTCGTTTATATTGTACGCTACTTTTTGAAGCAATAATCATTTTGTTACGATAAAAAAAGATAGAAAAAGCATAGATCAGATGTGATATATCGAACAAATCGATATCAGTGAAGTGTTAGTAATCGAATAACAAAAGATTGTCTTTTCTTCTCATTCTTTCCTCTTCCTGTCTTATTATGTTTGTTATTAACCTAAATTAATTGCTGTACATATCCAAAAAGGACATATAAATCTACTCTACTATCCAATAACTTTCACAATATATATAATAACTAACAAAAATGATATTCTTTAAGAATATTTTGGTTATACAATACCAATTAAAAGTATCAATCAAACAATCAGTCAAAATAAACTATCAATCAATATCATTCAGAAAGTTTTAATACCATAAATATGTCCTGAAATCAACTACAAAAAAAAACAACGAATAATTGATTTATAATAATTTGATACAGCAAAATAATTATTTTCTCTGCAGAGAGAGAGAGAGAGAGAGAGAGAGAGAGGAGAGAGAGAGAG